AAAATAATGTCTTACTAATGCTGTAAAAATAGTTTTGACTTTCCAGGTCCTGTGAAAGGATCTGAGCACCTCTCAGATCCTTTCACACATCACATGTTGAGAACCAGGGTTTTGAGTAAACCTTGGAGAGTTTGCAGCTGACTCTATCCTCTTTGCCTCTTCTTCATTTCCAGAATTCCTCTCCCTGACCTTGACTCCCTGCCTTCCAAAACTTAGCTAGTACTCTGCTCTGGACTCTTCTACAAGAGAACAGCTCCCTGGAAATGTCATGCTAAAGAGCATGACAGTGTGGGAACAGGACTGGAGGGACATGTGTTTCCCCTTTGGAATTATGAACAGTTTGTATGTGAAAGTATCAAGAAGATGATTCAGTCATGGTGCATTTCGGTTTTGGGTATCCATGTACACCCCCAGTTCTTGGCTCTTTCATTTTAAATGGATCCATGTAGCACCAAGAACAGTGACATTCACTCATCAGACTGTTACAATAAAAATGTTATGGACAGGGTGACTTATAAATGACAGAAATTTCTTTCTCACTGTTCTGGAAGCTGGAATTCCAGTTCAAGGGGTTGGCCAACTCCATGTTTAGTGAGGGCAACTTCCTCATAGAAAACCATCTCCTCACTGTGTCCTCATATGGCAAAAAGGGTCACAAAAGCTTTCTGGGGTCTGCTTAATGAATGTCCTAATCTCTTTGTGACCTAATTACCTCCCAAACACCCAATTTCCAAATACTTTCTCATTTGGTATTAGATTTCAACATATGAAACTGGAGGTACATAAACATGGGGTCTATAATGCTGATACTGTCAAGGGAACATTTTTGATTTTTTTTTAGCTAGCTTTTGTGTTGCTGTGACTGATACCCAACAAGAACAACTTAGAAGAGAAAAATTTATTTGGAATTTATGGTTTCAGATGGCTCTAGATGGCTGATAGCATTGCTCTGGGCCCAAGATGAGGCAGCAGATCATGATATAAGTGCCCGGTGGAGGGAAGCTGCTCAGTGCATGGTGGGGGTCAGGAAACAGAAAGAGTGATGGATGAAGGGACCCTTGGGAAGTAGTGCCCTTCCAGGGCACACCCCCAGTGACCCACCTCCTCCAGTTGTGCCCCACCTGCCTACAGTTACTGCCTAGCCATTTAAACTAGGGTGAACTGATGGTTACTGCTCTCATAATCTAATAATGTTACCTTTGAATATTCCTACATTACCATAAACTTTTGGGGGATACCTCATATCCAAACCATAACAGTGATGACAAAATAATTTTATCTCTCCACTGTTCAACATAGTAGCCACTAGTTATATGTGGCTTTTGAATTCTTGGGATGTGGCCACTGCCCCAAACAGATGAATTTTTAATTTCATGCAATTAATTTTCTAAATAAATAATTCCCCTTTGGAATAGGAACAGTTTGTATGTGAAAGTATCAGGAAGATGATTTAGTCATGGTGCATTTTGGTTTTGGGTATCCATGTACTAAGTTTGATGCAATTTATATGAGAAATAATATTGACCCTCCCACTCCGCAGTGTAGCTAGCAGTTACCATTTTGAGTCCAGTGTCTAGAGTATATATAGAATATGGAAACCATGGATTTTTCTGTGTGACTATGAGATATCTCTAAAATACACCATGCCTAAGAAAGTTAAATGTGTATTTTAAAAATTAGAAAGTACAGACTATCTATAACATAATTTATCACCCCCAGTCATAAATTTTCAAATATGCCCATCTCTAGAACTTAATTCTTGTCTGATTTCATTGGTACACTCAGCATCATTGTTATTTTTAATGGACATAAGGAGGTATATAAGTTTACTCTTAGGCAGAAGAAAATAGGTATTGAAGGCAACATATATAAAGTATCCTGCAGTTCCTGTAGGCATATTTAAAAAAAAAAAATCAACAGAAGATCTAGACCTTGGAACAGCACCTTAGAATTTGCTGTGGTTTAGATTTGACTGTGTCCCCCAAGGGTTTATGTATTGAAATTCAATCCCCATTGCGAGGTCTTGAGAAGGTGAGAGCTTTGGAGTGGAGTCTCCAGGATTAAATACAGGTGGCTACAGAGAGAGAGGGAGGGAGGGGGAGATAGAGAGATAAAGTTGGGGTGGGATATTGCAGGAAGGACACACACACATGTGCTCCCTGTCTTTCCTCTTGTCAAGCTCTGCTCCACCTTGGCATCCTGTTAACAGGAGGGCAATTTCTAGATGGGCCCCTTGGCATTGCACCTCCGGAACTGTGAGTCAAAATAATTCCTGCACAGTCCAGGGCTCTCCAGAAGTGTCTTTATCTCAACCTTGATGTACATTCTCCGGAACGGCCCTCTCTGCCCCACTCATTTCACAGCTCAGTTTTCTTCAGAGCTGTTCCAGAAGGTTCTGAGGGCAGAGCAGCGGCTGGCTTCCGGGTGCAGCCACAGGGTTGAGCACTGACGACTAGAGCTACTTTTTTCTAGTCTCACCTGGATCTGCGTAGGGTCTTTTTGGGCTCCCAGCAGTTATACAGGGCTCTTCACACCAGAGGGCGCTGCCACCCAGTGTCTGATTCTGAAGTCCCAATTGCTATCCAAAATACAAGGTAAAGTATGTTTACTTCCCGTTAAGTGACCTCTACCTCAGGGCACATCTGTGCCTTCAAGACCATAAAGGACAGTTTCCCAGAACTGGAGTGGATCCCACGAATGTACGGGGTGCCCTAAGTCTCCTGGAAAAACCCTGGACTATTGAGTCCTTGTTTTCTTGCTGCTTCCAGGATGAAGGGGTCCCATTCAGGTAATCAGCCCTGGATTCTCCAACCCTAGGATGGAGCAGAGGTCAGAAAGGACCCTGGAGTTTTAGCTTAAAGAGGAGGGAGGCTCCTGGAGAAGGGAAAATAGAAGAATCGGTATACTAAAGAAATGGTGGCCAAAGGGGAAGGAAAGGAATCTAATTGAAAAGGGACATGGGAAAGGCTCGTCTAGTGAAGGGCTGTGTGGGAGGGGTAGATGCATTTAATATGAGGTTAAGGGGCTTCTGGCTGGGGCTGGAGGACATCCTCATTTTTTAAAACCAGGATGATGATTACACAGATGTTAGTTTTGTCAATCAGTAGGTAGATTCCTGCACTTGCAGGTGTAGTATAATTCAAACACACATGAGAGAAATGGGTAAGGAA